CCACTGATCGACAGTATGAGCACCGATCTATGCAACTGGCGATACGAATGCAAGTCTCCCAAATCAGCGAGCCTGACCGCGGATTTCCAGGCTTCATATCCTGCTCAAAGTGCACAAATATAATCTGATTATTACCCTGGATAACCAAAGCTGAGAGGCGCTAGAAGGATAATAGTCACATGATGTATCCCACCGGGTACCCATTTTCTGCTGGATGAACACATGCAGTTTTGAGCAAATCCACTTACCATGTACTTTGTTGTGGGGAAGGGCTTTAGTCCTAGATGTTCAGTCCTAGACAATCTTAGAAGTCAAGCTGCAAAACACGGTCACCCATCCAAGGAATCTCCGCGGCCAACGTTGCTTAACTTCAACTGATTTGTGACCTGAGCTCTATGCACAGGGCCACACACCACCACTTCACCCAGAGGCTGAATAATAAAATCAACACTTATTCACTCAGGTAAGAAACCTTACTGTTTTGTACTATGAGCACCAGTTACAGTACTATATGCTGTTTCATCGTATTTGTCAGGTATTAATGTTTATCTCCAAACTTTTGTCCTTCCTGCATGAATGTTTGTTTGTTGCCGCACTCATCAATATTCCAGCTCTGTGCGTGTACATACATAACGGCTGAGTGCGGAGTTATAAACAACCAACAAACAAACATGTATAACGGATCATATGATGATAAGTATGTATTAGGCTACATTTACCTACGTTTAGTTTCACATTGTCACAATGCTGACTTCCTTCAAACCAGGACCTCAGCTGTGGCCTTAACCCGAACCTCGACCCGGGTTCTATCACATGTGGAGCTCATTTACATCACGACAGCTGCACCTACAATCGGAGACGCCCGCAGACGTAGACGTGTTAAATGAAGATCCATGTTGATATGTGAGTATTGTTACACGTATCTAACCGTATGATTGAGGGAGTTTGGTTTAACGCCGCTTGAAACATATTAAAGTTATATGAGGATGTGTCAGCTCAATGTGAGAGAAAAGTCTGAAGCCCTGCAGATGCCAGGCCTACACCACTTTGTTGAAGTGAGTGAGTTGGGTTTTATGCCGCTTTTAGCAATATTCCAGCAATATCACGGCGGTGAACACCAGAAATGGGCTTCACACTTTGTAACAATGTAGGGGAATCGAACCCGGGTCTTCGACGTGACGAGCGAACGCTTTAATCACTGGGCTACCGAACCGCCGTCCTTTGGGACGGGTATGGTACCGACAAACTTGGAATCATTATAGGAGCCAATCTATCCGTCAGCAGGTTGCGAATAATCTTACAGTACTACGGTACTAGTATTTGTGTTTTATAGATAATATTCAGATGCATGGGCAGTGTACATTTGTGTGACCATATATAACTCTCGAACTGTCGAATAGAGCAATACATCGAAATAGCACGATGGACATATCCTGGTTAGGTTGCAGGGTATACTGAACAACGTTGCAGTCGTAATGCGATTACGCAAGTGACGTAGCCGAATTTGAGAGTCCTGTCATGTGTCGCACGTGGCCGTCCTGATCTGGGCCGAACAGATGTACCTGTCTGAAGCACACATGTCCGTCTACTTCATCTCATGGCACGTGCAGCAGCCACAGTAGACTGACCTGTCTGGAGGATGCCAAATGAACGTTTACGTCCAACATTTGTAAGGCGTGGCATGAGACTTGTTTATCTCTCAAGGATTAGCAAACAGATGGCACATCTACTTGTGCAGGGTCGCTTGTTCACAAACGAGCGTGCTGCATGCACCCCACGTGATTCATCACAGTTAAATATCGGCTGATCCGTCAGGTTAGACCTGTCCATTAAGGTATTCGTCCATATTAACTAACTTGTACTACACATTTTCAATGTGGTTTATTTCACCAAGTTTCTATTTTTGTTCAGTATATATTTCCAAATGTAACGTTAGAGGTAAGGTTAAATGACCAAAGCGAGCAAGGTGCCATCTAAACCAGTTTGGGGTTAAATATATCTTATGTCGTGTTATTTACAGAAGTGCAAAACTAATGGTAAGTTATGAAATTGTTTTCTCCCTTTCAAAATCAACGTGGTCTCAAAATCCATAACAGTGAAACTCTATATGTAAGGGGTTAGATCGGAATATTTGGATACTAACGCTTCACAAGGAAGAAAACCAGTTTGTGCAATAAATGACATCACACGTCCTTATGAAGCTATAACTTCAACATGAGGTTGGGAACACTTCCGCCCAATAAATTGTAATTTTATCTGAGTAAATATCAATTTATGTTTATATGGGGGTGTAATGATGCCAGTCATGACACCTTAATGGGATTTCAAGTGATTCAAAGTGCTTGTTTTGCCGATTTTGAGCATCGATCTACGCACTTGGGATACAATGACATATGTCATACAAGTCAGCTAGCCACCAAACCCGAGCCAGTATGTCGCCTGAAAAACAATTCCAACTCAGATCTTCACGGGTCCTTGGCACAAAAGATAAGGCAGTCGTCTTTTGGAATGTCGGATTACAATAGATTCCTAGGAATCGTTGGACTAAGTGATTGATGGGTCGACCCTCAAGGCTTGTTGACTTGATTGTGTGTCATCGACCTCCCACGGGATGACTTCCTGCTTATGATAGCTTTCGGCTGGGATTCCAGCCAATTTACACTTGTCAAAGAGGAACACAAAACATCAAGACAACCAGTTTTCAGATTTCCATTTGTTGTGGATCGCTAACTTTGTATGGTAAGGAATACGTACATTTAACATTAGTAACTGTTGTGTCTGGTCCTGACTCGATTATTTACAGATAAATGTTATTGCTAGTAACTATTCCAATATTTGACAAAACATAAACACAAAATAGGGAAAGAACGTTTGGGCAAAACGAAGAGGGCAAAGAGAAACGAAAGCTGGAACAATATGCTGCATTCGAAATAATGTGAAAATGTAAATTGTAATTGTCGGCAGTGAAACCCTAGAGCGCATACAATGTGTGGGATACTGACAATATTGTTTGTTCTATTTCAGATAACATAACCATGACAAACAACATTGTACTACTTTTTGTCTGTCTCTCTGGAGAAGTTATCTGGGCATGTACGTTCCATCACGATGTGACATATGGAGGAGTGTTCGCAAACTGTTCCAGCAACAACCTATCCTCTGTACCAAATGATCTTCCCCTGAACACAACATCGCTCAGTTTGCATAGCAATCACATTGCCGTGTTGCACATTCCACTCAACAGTTCCTGGAATACACTCAAATACCTGGACCTCTCCAACAATAAATTAGCCAAACTGGAAAAGCGGGCGTTTGAAAGCATTTGCAGCTTAGAAGAACTGTTCTTGCAAAACAACAAGCTTATTCTCAATTCCGACACATACCCGGACGATGTCTTCCTACCTCTACAGAAACTTCAGAAGCTTCACCTGCACAACAATGACCGACGGTTTAAAGGTATATATCCAGAAACTGCTTTTGGTAAACTGAGGAGTGTTGTAGAATTGAAAATTGATTCATCTGGAATCACCATCTTTGGATCTGGATTTGCAAACATGAGTAGTCTCAAAAGACTTCTTTTGGGGTTTAATGGTTGCAAGATTGAAGCAGTGTTAAACGACACGTTACTGTCTTTTCAACACAGTCCAGTTGAAGACCTAGATCTTAGTAGTTGCCCATTGGAGGCTGTAGATACATTGTCATTTGTTTACTTGAAAAGGCTCAAGAATTTGAACCTTTCTAAGAGCACATTCGTTGCCCCAGTGGATGCTGTTAGGTCTATGTATGGTTTAAATGGGCTAAACATGACAAGTATTATACTTGATGAAATGTACAATTTCCTTAATTTTCGGTATGGTCCTGTTGAACCGCGAATTCTTTCGCACAAAGTGCTCGATAATATTCAAGGCGTTTGCGTGAGGAAGGTTTCAATGAAAAAAAATAAAATTGTATGGATTGATTCTTCGATTTTAAACTCTAATTCGCGTTTCACCCAATGCATTGTGCACTTGGACCTTTCTGGTAATGAATTGCTGGGAGACAGGCAGATGTTATTCAAAATGGTCTTCGCGCCCGAGTTGGTGTTTCTGAATGTTTCAAATACCTTGAGGAGAAACGAGTTCTTTCCAACAACATTACCACAACATAACTCCCCATCGTCAGTACCAACCTTCCATCTCACACTTCCCCGTAAACTAGAATACCTTTATATGCATGGTACGTTGAGCGAGATAGGTTACATAAACGGCAATATTGAATTTACAAATGCAGCATCGCTCAAGAGTATCAACTTTGAATTTAACGGATTGTATGCCTTACAATACAATATTTATGGGTTAGAGAACCTCACTGAGATTGATGTCTCTGGAAACTACTTCACCAACGTGAATCCTGGCATCTGGAAATCTTTTTCCAGTTTGACAACTCTTAAGATGTCTCAAATGGGCTTTAGAAACGACTTTCTACTTAAAGAGGGACGTGAGATGTTTTTGCCATTAGGTGCACTGGAAACTATTGTTCTTAGTCGCAATGATTTAGCAGTCATGGATTCACAGATATTTGCTGGGAATCAACTGGCAGTCATTGATTTGTCTTTTAACCGCTTTGAGAGTATCCCCTTTGACATCACAACAACTCCGTCTCTCCAACGTCTTGACCTCAGTTACAACTCGCTGCCTGTACTATCAGCGTCACAGAGGAGTCTACTTGATGCCTTGGCAACAACAAATAACCTTACTTTGAACCTTAACAACAACCTTCTGTCCTGCGGATGTAAGAACTTAGACTTTGTGAAGTGGCTGTTCCAATCAGATGTGAATGTTGAAAGCATAGATACATATACCTGTGTATCTGATGATGGCGTTATTACATCTCCATCTTTTATTTATGATCATTATTATGAAACCTGGAGAAGGTGTTTGGGACCAAATTGGTTATCTTTATCTGTTTCTGCTTTTGCATTGATCATTTTATTCATGATTTTGATGTACCTGATAAACCAGAAAAAGACTTTAGTTCTAAATATCATTCACCGGTTGTTTGGGTTGGTAAATGTCTCCAAATCACCGAAACGTACTGACTTTCCTAACGACGCCTACATCGGCTACAGCGACGTCGATTACCAGTACATCTGTCACACTGTGAGAGAACACCTGGAAGATAGACATGGAGTCAAACTCTTCCTGAAGGACAGAGATACCATCCCTGGTGGACAAATAGCCGACGACATCATCAGCGGAATAGACTCCAGTTGGAAGACGGTCCTCGTTCTCACCCAGTCTTTTATTGAGGACCAGTGGTGCCGCTTCATCGTTAATCGTATTGTGTATTCCTCCACCAGAATGCCAGCAGGTAGTATCCTGCTTGTGTTGTTTGAGGACGTGAGACGAGGGGACATCTCCCCGGCCCTGCTCAATGTTGTGGAAGAGAGACACATCTTCAGTGTGGGGAAATGTATGGGCGACCAGGGCAGACTTTGGAGAGACGTTAGTCAGCTTATCAAAAATGAAACGGAATTTTAGAGAAAACGATAACACGTTGACCAGTGGAGATGAAATTGTGGCACTAATAAGTGGAAACTGACATTGACTCCTTTTCGGAGATCGTTTGATACTTTTGAAAATGTGACATCTGTGACGTGTGCTCTCTTGCAACACAACCTAGTCCGAGTATCCTTTTACGTGCAGTCCAAGCCACGAATTGTAAATACTGATGATAGAGTGCTTGCTCAGTGTGTTAATTTCGTACTTGTTTGTAGCAATAATGTGTGTTCATAATAATTCAAAGTGATGATGTGTCGGACTTACAACTGTTTCAAAGTAAAAAGGTGGTCCCTGCCTATTGAATTTGCGGTTGTATCAAACCTCAGATAACTCGAAGTAGTACTTACGAGGGTCGCTTCAACTTCGACAAAACGTTGTTTGTACTTGAAATGTATTCGCTATGTCCTCTGAGAGTTACAAAGAGAGACAAAACAGTCCGCACAGCCATAAGAAAGGGAGACGTACCTTTAATCATTTCTGGACGTGCCTTCTATGGGTATATACCTGCTTATGTACTTAACGTGTCTACTGATTCCTTTTTTCACCATGTTTTCACTGAAACGACTGGTGTCTCAAATAAGTGATAGTTATCATATTTGTATTATTCAACGTCTTTCCAAAATTGTGAAAATATAAATTTGTGGATAAAATTCTGAAGCATTAGATTCAGTTCCATTTCAGCATTTGTTTATTTCGATGTCACTATATTAGTTACATATATCTTGTGGTAGATTCGTTAGTCGACACCTACGAAACAATAATCACATTTTCGTAGTAAACAGTATTCCATTACTTTGAACCCTGTGACTCTATATGTCAGTGACCCGTGAAGATCCGGGGTAGAATAGGTCTCCAGCAACCCATGCTTGCCACAAAAGGCGACTATGCTTTTCGTAAGAGGCGACCAACGGGATCGGGTGGTCAGGCTCGCTCACTTGGATGACACATGTCATCGGTTCCCATTTGCGCAGATCGATGCTCATGCTGTTGATCCCAGGATTGTCTGGTCCAAACTCGATTATTTACAGACCGCCGCTGTATAGCTGGAATATTGCTGAGTGCGGCGTAAAACTAAACTCACTCACTCACTATATGTCAGTTTTAAACATTAAACATGATTTTGTACAGCAACAAAGAAATATTTAAGCAGATCAATATCATTACTGCCATATATCTGTTTCACCATTTATGCCAATAAAGAAAAGTAAACAATTACTAACATATAACATGGTAATATGTGTTTGCCCAAAAGTTCACTTTAAAGGGGTTTTATGTGTTTATTATTGAGGACTCACTGTATAATCACCCCGCCCTACAGGAAGCCGTCTTTGTGGTAGAAATGAGGTTCTTCCAAAAGAGGTGAAAATATTATTCTTGATGTTACCTGGCCTGGACGTAAGGTGATAAAAAGGAACTTATTGGCTCGGAGTCTATGTAATGTGTGTTAGTGGAGTGACATGGAGTAACACCATTGCATTGTGAGAGGATTACCAATCAGTATAAATTACTGCAAAGCTGTAACAATGGGACCCGTGTGTGTGTGTGTGTGTGTGTGTGTGTCTCTCTCACTGTCTGTCTGTCTGTCTGTCTGTCTCTCTCTCTCTCTCTCTGTGTGTGGTTGGTTTGTGCGAGGGTGGGGATAGGTGTGTGGTGTGTTGGGTGTGTTTTGTGTAGTTGTCATTTCCGTGTGCGAAATACGGATTATGTCAGAAAGCGCACGTTAAATCTCCAAATCATTATAAGATCCGGGTTATGATTGGTCTTCAGCAACCAATGCTTGCCGTGAAAGGCAACTAAAGGGATCGGGTGGTCTTGAATAACTTGTTAGAACTTATACAATATTGTAAATCGATGCTCACGATTTGGATCACTGGATTGCACGGTCCAGACGCGATTGTTTACAAACTGCCGCCATATACCTGGAATATTACTGATAGGGGCGTTAAACAACAAACCAACCAACTATTTAAATGGCAGTGGCCGTGCAAAAGTCAAAGTCTATTACAGTGCCAGTATATAATACAATTACAGGGGTAATAGCACTAAAGTCAGTTGTAATAACATTCATGTGGCAGCAACAGTGGTTAAACTTGATACATAGGTGATTAAACTTGATACATAGGTGGTTAAACTTGATACATAGGTGGTTAAACTTGATACATAGGCCTAGGTTTGATATCCAGGGTCTCAGTAATCGTCACACAGCAGATGATCTCGACGATATCAAACATGTGCTGGCCCACATGTATAGTTTAAATACACCCCAGAAATCCCATGGTGGTGATTTGAAAAACTTTTCGGGGGTGGGGTAGCCTAGCGGTAAGGGCTCGCTCGTCACACCGAAAACCAGGGTTCGAAGCCCAACATGGGCACAATCAGTCTAACTAAACTTAGGCTCAGTATTATTCGTTACACTGCTATACTACGTCTAACAGAACCTAGTAGAGGTTACCTGACGCGACCTTCTACTAGGATTTGTTAGACTCAGTATAGCAGTGTAACGAATAATACTGAGCCTAAGTTTACTTAGACTGGGGCACAATGTGTGAAGCCCATTTCTGATGTCCCCGCCGTGATATTGCTAGAATATTGTCGCTTTGCGTGTAAAACAATTAGAGTGAGTGAGTGAAGTCAGCAATATGCCAGCTATAGTGACAGCGATCCGTAAACAATCGAGTCTGGACCGGTAAATCCATTCATCAACAGCATGAACATCGATTTATACACATGGATAAGATGACATGTATCACCCAAGTCAGCGAGCCTTACCATTAGTCGCCTCTCAGGAGAAGCATTGGTTGCTGAAGATCAATGCTAACCCGGATCCTATTTGGTACCGCTTCATTTCAGCGGATACGAACTGAATGGGTGTGCACTTGCTTAACTACCGTCTGTGTGGTTGACTGGGTTTTTTGCACCTACCGGGGATTTGATCATATGCATGCCCTTATAAAACGTTCTAATACGGGCAACGTTCAATATTTATTTACGACCCTTCAACGAGTATTTAGGGGTCTACCTTCAACCTGTATATGCAAGCATACTTTCCACTTTTATATACGAGCCTACCATCAACGTCTGTAGGTTCGACTACACTAAGTCAGAGTCACATGCTGCCTGAGCGAGCACCGTATGTAAACAACTGAAGAGACAGAAACTTGTGACAGCTGTGAAATAGTGTAAGATGTTTATGCTTTTTAAAACCACATTCATCCAGTAATTAAAACTGACCACAATTTTAAGTATTTAGTGCTGTCATTTTTATAACAATGTCTTATGTTTATTGTGCGTACAGATATTTTCCAGCAGGTGACATTTGGTGCGGAACTGGGGTTGATGTGTTCCGCTTCCTGTGCTCGGAAAATGAGCCGGACAATTTAGACAGAAATTGTGTTTTATTTTGTTAAAGTGAGTGAGTGAGTTAATATTTAACGTCACATCGGCAATACCGCAGCCATAGCGTGACGAAAAAAAATTATACAATAAAATGTGAAATGAGAACATTTGACTTTGAAATGGAATATATGTTGATGAAGGACAGTAAAACAACTAGAATATCACAAGTACAACTAAAACTAGTATGGTTTAGTAGAGTTAAAACTGATAGAACTATTTGGACAATACAATATAAAAACAAGCTATAGATCGCCAACACCAGAAGGTAGATCACAATAGCAGGGACCATGGGGGCTTACGGTACCTTGGCTACCTGCATGGACCCTAATTGGATTTACACCATCCCTTCAGCTGCTGGCGATTGTAAGAAATGTTAGCCAAAATTAAAATGACAAGAATGCTACGTTTAAAAATCCTGGCAAGTTTAAATTGACTTTGAGTGAGTGAGTGAGTGAGTGAGTTATTATTTAGCGTCACATCGGCAATATTTCAGCCATACCGTAAATTGACTTTGAACATTTTGGGACTTACGTACCCTCTCAGGAGGACAATAATTTTACACTACTTCAACCCCCTTTGAGGGTACAGCCACTAACCATCTCAGTTACTAATCTAAAATACCAATAGTAAAATATGTATCTATTTACAAATCAGTTAACAAGTTTAATTCTTTTAAAAATGCAATAATTAAATGAGGACTTATATTACTAAATAGATCCTTCATAGTTTGTGATTTGAAATCGATATCCCTTGTGATGGAATATTCAACACAATCAAGCAGGACATGCTTGACCGTGATTCTTTCATCACAACGGATACAAAAAGGAGGATCCTCACCTTTTAATAGGTACTCATGAGTATATCTTATGTCGCCAATACGACATCGTCGTATGATGACCTCTTCAAATCTGAACTGACAACCCAAGTTGGTGTAACCGATAGTTGGTTTTATTGCATGTAATTTATTGATACCTACTTGGCTGTCCCACTTCTTTTGCATCAGATCACGGATATAAGATCTTATAGCAGCTTTGTAATCAGAGTATGGGATCAGAAGTGGTGTCACAGATTTGTTGAGTGCTGCCTTAGCAGCAAGATCAGTCATTGTGTTACCAGAAATGCCAACGTGGCTGGGTAACCAACAAAAGACGATGTCGCATTGGCCAGTAGCAAGCTCATTATACAATTCAATAATTTCCAATAAAAGTGGATGTTTACTAGAAAGATTTTTAATAGCCTGAAGACACGAAAGAGAATTGGAACATATTACGCATTGTTTATATTTACGATGTTTACTTATATACCTAAGGGCTGTTAATATGGCGTTAGCTTCTGCTGTGAAAATAGAGCTGTTATGTGGTAGTCGAGAAGATTTTGTTCGGGTTCCAATGACAGTGGCACATGTCACCGCGCCACCATCCTTGGACCAATCTGTAAATAAGGATTTGTATGTATTATATTTATTAGGTCTTCAGACGACAGTCTGGAAGACCTACTGTTTCAGCCTGTGTGCTGAAATTGATACATAGTCGAAACAATCCCGACTTCCTGCTTCCGGTAAGGGCAGATAACCCAAAAAGTCG